TGGGAACACGCTGGTTTCATCAACATTTTTGAGTAATGTGACTGAACAGTTTTAATCAAGTCAACATTCTTCCTTTTAGTTTTATGTTATGGCTTTGATTGAAGTAAATCACTCAGAGTATATTGTTTTGCAAAAATGTCAGAATTTATAACTTTTTGGCTCCAAATTGAATTGAAAAAAGCATCTTGAAATCTTGTTTTCTTCCCCTACCAGGAGACAGGAATATGATGTTTTTCAGCCAGGACTAGTTATAATTTTGATGGCTGCTGCTGTTGAGCCTTGGATGTCCCATGACACAGATACTGGTTTAGTCTGCAAAGTGAAGCATTCTCCTTTCCTTTTCCAGGAAGATATGTGCCTGGAGTTCATGCTCATTTGGACTCTTACTTTTTTAAGCAGGTTTTCCATAAGGTGTCTTTGCATTTCCTGGGAATAATTTTTAAAGAAGGACTCAAGGTCTAAGGAACTATAGTGGTCTGACCATCCTCTGCTGCTGGTTTACCTCACAGGTTTGCTTCTGTAGGCTTTGAGGGACTCAGTCTTAATCCATTGCTTAATCCCTCCCTTGCTCAGGACACACTGTGTGCACAGGAATGGCAACAACTGCTTTAATAGCAGCCCAGTTAAACCCAGTAAAAGCCAAGAAGATTAGATATTGAACCAAGGGAGAGGAGGATATACAGGTTAGCAAACTCCACAAAGGACATCAGTGGGAGCCTTCTGGGTCATGAAACAGTGCATGAGGGCTGGTGTGGGTGGCATTTGGGTTACCTTGCTGTAAAGCTCTGTAAAGCTTTCAACAGAACCTTTGAAAGACCTTTATTTTAGGTGTGGGGGGCTTAATTTGTTGTGGCATCTCCCTCAGTGGAGCAGCAAAAGGCAGTGACATTGGTAAGAGTGGGTGAAGGGCACTGGTGAGAGCAGGAAGACCCAATTCTCATTGAAGTCCTTGTGTATCAGCCTAGTTGTGTAAAAGGACATTAAGGGAAGTATTAAAATCGTTAATAGAAGCAAATTATTGCACTAACATCTGCTGCATTAAACTCCCCTATTCTTCAGGGACAGCGTATTTTTATTTAAAGGTTTAGACACCTTTATTTACAGCTCCAGCTTTTGATGCCATTACCAAGTAAAGAGCTGCTGTCTCCAGAGTCATCCCAGCACTAGGGAAGGGTGTGGATGCAGAGGCACATGGGCTGCACGGGCTGGCAGGAGCACACCCCCGTTTGGAGGGATGGGTTGTCTCAGTGAGGCTCAGCAGTCCTGTCTGTGCTCTTCACTCAAAGCTGCTTTTCTCTGTGCCTAAAGTAGAGGCTGTTTCTTTGATATGCAAGTTTGTGCACTGGGGGGAGTGATGGGTGTGGGGAACAGATGGAGAAAGCACAGGGAAAACAGCAGTGGTTTACAGGAATAAAAAGAGGTGCTTTTGTTGGAGTCATTACACCAGAAACAAGGAGCCTCTGATGAAGGGAAGTGAGCCTGAGGGTAGGGAAGGTTGTGGTGTTGACAGAGAAAGGGTTTGTAAGGATTTCAGCCTTATCAGTTTAGCTTGAAAACCCAGAAGCTGAGGGATGTGGAAATGGTGGGAAGACAAAGGGTACAGAGGAACTGAACAGGGCACTGAGCAGAAAGTGTGAGAGGTGGGAGCAGGGACAGGACTTGCCAAGAGCTCTCAGAGCCTCTCTGTGGGCGAGAGGCAAGGGAGCAAGGACGGGAACAGAGGAAAGAGCTGGAGGTGACCTGGACAAGCAAACAAACCCTTGGACAGAAAGGGGGGTGCGGGAGGGGGGCAGGAGGTGACTGTCCAGGGGAGGGCAGTGGAACAGCTCCTTTCCCAAAGGCAGGACTGCCCCTGGGTAAACCCTCAGCTGCCCCTGAACGTGCTACAGGTGAGTTCTGACTGGCCTCCTGCACAGGGGATCACTGGGGTTTCTTGTCAGGAGTTCAGGTTTATGCCTGAGGAGTTTTGGGAAATCCGAATGTCCAAGCAGGGCAGACAAGCACAGCTCCCAGGGGTGTCCTGATGGTCCCCCTGCCTTGCAGGAGCTGACTGGGCTGAAGGGGGTGATGACACAAGCTCACCCTTCACATGTGCCCTGCCTTTGTGCACACACAGAGGGGCCAAACCTGGGGCTGGGACACCAAAACAGGATGCTGGGGCTCTCTAATCCTGGGAGTCCTGCTGTGGGAGAGGGAATATGGGCCAGGGGAGAGCTGAGCTCAGCTGCTCCCACCGTGGAGTTTGACCAAGGGCTGCAGCACTAAAGCCAGGAGGTACCAGTGGGAGGGGATGACAAAATCCTACTGTGAAGCACAGAAGTTATCTGTATTTGTCCTTCTATTCACTGTTTCCCAGCTCAAGTGATGTAACAATTACAAATTTGGCTTACCTGGAAAAGCTACTGAAAGTAGGATAAATTATTAATTCCCAGGCTGGGTTCTGAAGAATTAATTTCAGCACCACTTATTGAAAATTCTCCTTCATAAGAAACAGCCCCATTTTGAGAACAGTTTTGAAACAGTGAGACTCTTGCAAGCCATTATTGTATTTTTTGACAATTTTATTTTTCCTTCAATCACTATCCTTTAGCACATTCAGCAAATATACTGAAATTAGGAATAGGAAGCCTACATTTGTAAGAATTATATCTCTGTGCAACGTAGTGAAGTAATTGAAATTCCAGGGCAGAACTGTGGAAATTCTTAGCACAGTTTGTCCATATCTTATCAGAACAGGCACGCTTTTCCCATGGCCTGGCCACATGCCAGCAGGGATGGAGCAGACTGGTTGGAAGCCCACTTTGAATGGGCAAAGTAATCTTTCTGAATGGATTTTCTGGCAGCATTCCTGTTGCATGTGTGGTTTATTGTTCTTGGGGATGTGACTGTATTTTACCCCCCAGATAAATGTTTTAGGGTCATTATTCTTTTGATGATGGGAGGGGTTCTGGAAAAACAATCAGATCACTAGTCCTATAAAATTCTATAGGCAATTTTTTGTTGTTGTTGTAAGTGGTTTTCCATGTTAATTGTGTAGCTTTTTGAGCATAATTTTGATGTAAAGGACAAC